GAAATGTGATGAGTGTCAAAAAGCAGGTGGAATTTCAAAGAAGGATGAGATGCCTCTCACCACTATTCTCGAGGTTGACATCTTTGATGTGCAGGGCATTGATTTCATGGGTCAGTTTGTAAGTTCTTATGTCAACACATACATTCTTGTGACCGTTGATTATGTTTCAAAGTGGGTTAAGGCCATGGCTTTACCCAACAATGAGGCCCGGAGTGTTGTGGCTTTTCTCAAGAAGAGTATCTTTACTCGGTTTGGCACTCCTAGAGCAATCATTAGTGATGGAGGGTCTCATTTCTGCAATAAGGCATTTGATACCTTGCTTGCAAAGTATGGTGTCAATCACAAGGTTTCTACCCCTTACCATCCTCAAGCTGGTGGGCAAGTTGAGGTCTTCAACAGGGAGATCAAGAGTATATTGTCAAAGATGGTTAATGACAATTGGACCGATTGGTCAAAGAAATTGGATGATGTTTTATGGGCCTACAAGACCTCTTACAAGACTCCGATTGGTATGTCTCCGTACCGGTTGGTGTTTGGAAAAGCTTTCCATCTCCCGGTTGAGTTAGAGCACAAGTCCATGTGGGCCTTGAGAAAGTTGAATCTTGAATGGGATATTGTAGAAAATCTCTGGGTGGAGCAGCTTAATGAGCTTGATGAGTTTCGGTTTCATGCCTACTCCAGTTCGTCCTTGTATAAGGACAAGATGAAGTACTTACATGACAAGTATGCTCATGGCAAGGAGTTCAAAGTGGGTGATTTGATTCTCTTGTTCAACTCCCGGTTACGACTGTTTCCGGGAAAGCTTAAGTCAAAATGGAGTAGACCTTTGGAGGTGGTGCTTGTGACTCCGTTCGGTGCTCTTGATTTGAAAAACAAAAATGGTGAGATCTTCAAGGTTAATGGGCACAGAGTCAAGCACTATCTTGGCAAGTTTGATGACAGCCGCGTGGTGTCAATGATCCCTCTCAAGTGATTGATGGTAACCTGCGTCATGCCGCGACGTTAAATCAGACGCTTCTTGGGAGGATTTCTTCTTAGTATAGGATTTGTTTTTGGACTAACTGGTTGTGAGATGTGTGTAGGGATGTTTGATACAGTGCAGGACTAAGCTGGAAAATAAAAATTTGACACTCTTTGAAGTTTGGACTGCTACCGCGCTCTATTTTTCACGATCGCGGTGGCCTTACCGTGGAGGCGAAATTTGATCGCGGTCAGCGGTGCTAAAAGGTCCAAAATGGAGGTTCTCTGAAGTTTCAACCGTTGTCGCGGTGCCTTTTTTGCGGTCAGCGGTGGTCTCAAAAGTGTAGCCCTTCTAAACTTCACAACTGCGGACCTCTATGATTTACCGCGGCCGCGGCACGTAAGATTGTGTGGGCCCCTGGGTAATTTCTATAAATAGGCGGTCATTAAGCCTTTTACACTTTTCGATCATTCTACTCTCAAGCAACATAAAGATTGTTCATCCACGCCTAGTTTGCACAAACACAAGCACTAGACTTCATTTTTCACCACTCATCTCACATCTGGTAATTCCACTCATTCCTTTGTCTTTAATTTTGTACTTATTTTCTTTTAATTGATAGTTTTTATCTTTTCTTCTTCCTTTTTCTTTTAATTTTTACTTAGGGTTCCTTAGTGTTAATTTAAATTAGACTTAGATTGTTAGAATTGGTTGATGAACACCTAGTGGGGCTTAAAACTGTGTAAATGCATGAATAATTGAAACCCTAGGTCTACTGAGCCCTAATTTGACTACCGCGATCACAGTTGATTTTCCGCGGTCCGTAGTCATATGTGTTATGTGAGATTTTTGAGTCCTGATAATCGCGGTCAGCGGTGGCATTTTCCGCGGACCGCGGTACCTCTTCGCGGCTGCGATGCCTTTTCCACAGTCCGTAGTGCTTAAGTTCAGAGAGGTCTAAACAAGGGTCCGTGGCCGAGGTGGATTTTTTCCGTGATCGCGGTGCAACTACTGCGGCCGTGCTCCTTTTTCCGTGATCGCGGTGCTATTGAATCTGAGAGTGGGTATTCTGAATCCCACATCTTCGCGGTCGCAATACATTTTTTGCGGTGCAGCCTTCGTGGCCGTGATCCTTTTTTTCACGGTCCACGGTCTACTATTTTGTTCTTGCACTTTCAACTGATATTCTACATTGCTTATTCTAGTATTTGCACTAATAATTTTCAACTAATTCTACTTGCAGGAATGGTTAAATCTAGAGGAGGCAGTGACAAACAAAAGGGTAGAGCAGAGTCCTCCCGGGGTAGGGGACGATGACAGATTAAATTGACCTCGGTAGCTAGGAAATCAATTGGGGAAATGAGGAAGAGCATCTGAGCTGCAGATAAAGCTGCTTCCCATTTTGAGGGAAGTGAGTATATGCCCTCTCGGGAGGCATCAGAGTCTGATTCAGTGCCAGAAATGTACTTGACTTCCCGGAGAGGCATAGGAAAAGATCCCAAAAAGTTACCAAGGCCTTAATTAGATCATTCCCCGGTTTGACTTTCTCAATGTCTGTAAGGGCGCCCAAATGCTTTTTTTACCCAATCCTGACCATCTTTATCTAAGTCATACCACCACATTTGAAGTTGCAGTAGAGCCTACTCTACGACCGTTAACGGCGGATTCTTGAAAGTGTTCATTTTGTACCTGTGTATGGTTAGGGTTAGGGTTGACTCCAGTGGACTCTTTTTGTAAAACAAGTTTTAAATTTTCTAAGGAAAAATCAAATGAGGGTGGCTACTTATGCAATATTAGCAAAAGGTGGCTATTTTTGCAACCATAGCCCCTTCACACTTTCAAATAAATTTTGAGGTCGAGGAAGGACACTTTATGAAAACAGTGACGTCTCATTGACAGACATGTCCGTTTTTTGCAAAAATAGCCCTTCGACAATTGGAAGATGTTCTAAGGCTATTCCGGAAAAAACGGCTTAAGACGCAACCGAAGCTGGGTCGGCTTACTCTTTTGACCAAAGTACCAGGACACACTTTATTTGTTTTTGGTTATTTTTGCAAAATGAGTCCGAACTTTAGGTAGGTTGCCTACGTACTCACATCCGATGAGAATAAGACCTATGTAGTTCGGTCAATTTTGACATAACCGAGAAAACATTAACTCATTTTGAAATGACTCATTTTTTAAAAAAACTCATTTTTCTCAAAATTTCGGCAGAGTTTCGGGATATTTTCAAAATACCGTGGTATTCAGAATCGAGTGAATTTTTCTCTCTCGCCTCACTCTTGATTTTTCTTTCCGTAGCTGATCAACATGCAAGGCGAAACAAATAAATGAACAAATAGCACGTAAGATGTATGAGGATGGTCTTTTATTTTGGGTACAACTATCCTAGACGGACTCAATCCCTGTGTTAAGTCCCCTAAGTCAAATGCACGTGATGCAAGCAAAAGTTCCTACTAGGGATCCGTCATGAGGCTATGCTATTATAGGTTTAAACCTGGGGGTGTGTTCTATACATGGCTTAACCGAGCGGACAACTCGAGCCGAGGTAGGGACAATGTACCGGGAGCACGAAAGTCTACCTGGCCTAGTTGTTGATCCATACTCGTTCTATTTGGTACGACCTCTAACAAAAAAGTGGGCCACGCGTATGTGTGCACCATATTTTTAGAAGACTCAGAAGGGAGGCGTAAGAACACAGTTTAATATAATTCAAATAATATCAAAGCAGTAAATATGCGGCAATTAGCACATTAGGTCCACAAACACAGTAATATCAACAAACAATAAAGTCAAGCATAGATCACATTATCAAGCTCGAATTCTAAACCCTGAACCAGGGATTCTGGGTTCGATCCCCAGCAGAGTCACCAAAGCTGTCATGCCTCTTTTCCCCAAGGGATAGGGAGTTTTTCCAATTAAAGTGACATTTGTCAAAATGAGATTACTTATTTATTCAGAGTCGCCACTTGGAATAATTTTATGGTGTCCCAAGTCACCGGTTTATTTTAAATCTCAAATCGAAGAAATTTGACTCTGTTTAAAGTCAGCGAAAATCAGAAGACCGGGTAAGAATTCTATTAACCCAGGAGAAGGTGTTAGACATTCCCGAATTTTGTGATTTTAGCGTGGTTGCTTTAACTACTCCTGGCTTAATTAAATTGTTTGATTACATGCTTTAAGAACCTATGTATATTTACCATTTTTATCGCTTTTAATATGGTGTTTATGGATTTAATCTTTGGAACAGATTACATGTGTAAATCCGCTTTGTTTGGGGCGCTAAAATCATGTCACGCAAACGTGTACACAATTAGTCACACTTTATTAATTTCAAGATCGTTTACCAAAGTATCGCGAACGCGTACCTTAATTTATTTTGGAAATCATAACTATGTCTTGTAAACGTGTACATAATCACGATAATGGATTAATTAAAATTGTGCCTAAAGCACTCTAACAGTATTCATTATTCTTCCTAACTTTGAGATTATTTTAGGAATCACAATCATATCACGCGAACGTGTACACAATTATGATAACAGATTAAATGCGTGCTTAAAAGCATTTCTACGTAAATTTGTAAATTAGCCAAACCATTTCAAGACTACTGTGAGGTATATTAACAAAAAAACCGGTGGGGACAGCGAGGATATGAATCTGCTCTTTTAAATTAATGAAACCAAACTTTTTGTTTGCGAAAGGCGATACTACTGTTGGTGCACCTTTTCATCTTTTATGGTCAATTGTTGGATGATTAGTATGCAAAGTTATTATGCTTAAAAGGCCTAGACATTATTGTTGAGATTGAAAATGGCCTTCTGCTACTTTAATCAATAAAGAGAGCGTTGGAGCAGGCCAGTGCATTTGGGCCAGCCTAAAGCCCACTTTATAGATCACGTGCACTCTTTTGTTTTAACTACAGCTATCTTGCTATTGGGTTCAGTATCTGGGAATAAATGGCCCACTAGTCCATAATCAATCACAGTTTTCACAAATCCAGCGACAATAGAAAAGCAATCAAACAATGATAGCAACATTAGAGTTCAAAGTCCAATTTCATACATTCTTAGAAATCAGTAAATACTGCTGCCTTTAAAAAAAATGAACATATAACAAAGGGTTGTGGAAAGTGCAAACTCAACCACAACAAAAATGATATTTGCAAAATTATAGACTGATGGTAGCAAAAGACAGAATATCAGTTAATACATCTCATTGGCTATCCCTATCACATACAAACTTAATAGTTAAAGAAAAATATGAAAATGCCTCTATTTGATTTACAGATTCCTCCTCAATGCTCATAGGAAGGCAAGATTATCAACTGATGCATTTCAATACTGCCTGAAGCCTCTCAATCGTCAAATTTAGCCAACTGGTGGTCGAACTTTGAAGACTGATGATTTCAAAGAGCCTCATAGATACTTTGCAGGCCATAATCAAGTAATAACTTAACAGAAACAATACTGAGGGAATCTTAAACTAGGTGACAACATTTCAGTTCTGAGTTATACTTAAAGCAGAGCCAATTAACAGTCAAGTAAACACAGGATCAGCAATTTGAGTTTTCTCAAAGGAAAAGATGATTCCAATCTAGATTTTAACTTAAACACACAACTTTTCAACAAGGATAAGTGGATCTAATAACTAAAACACAATGAACACACATGCTTAGGTATAGCCATGAAGTCAACAGTTCATTCATCAATTCCATATTCAACAAGTTGTTACAGGGAAATAGTCCTACATACCTAGTAGAGGAACCAATGGACTTGACAAAGCAAAAGTGAAAATTGAAGACCCAACTAGCAATGAACAGCAGCAGAAGACCAAAACAAAATAGCTTCAAACTCAAATCAAAAGTCCCAGCAGCATGGAGTGGAACAGTATAAAATGGAAGGGAAAATCAGCCTGGAAATCTTTTTTTTTTCTTTCAATTTCTAGCTTTGAAGGAAAACAGAAAGGCAATCAAGAGAATGAGTCTATGTATTTCTGAGGGTTTTCTTGTGTACAATCCGTGCGAGAACGAGAGGAGGAATCCCTTTTTTAATAGAATGTGAGCATGTCCTCATGATAGGGAATGAGAGAGATTTAAAGGAATCTGCCAGCCCTTAAATTTTAGGGAAAAAGACATCTTTCTAAACAAAAAATGGACAGCTATCCAATTTTTGGATATTTCCTCTCACTCCCATCTCTTTTCTTAATAGATTGGGACAGTTGTCCTTGTTTCTAGAAGCTTCTTTTATTTCCAGAACCTTTTTAACTTTCTATTCTTACCCCAGCCTTTAAACATTTTCCCCATTTTAATGTATTTCCAACCAAACAAAACAGATTTCTTCGTTTTCCTATTTCTTTTAGACACCTGAATTTAAGTAATTACAAACAACTATCACAAAAACTCAGATAAATTAAAAATTACAGCACAACAAGTAATATTCAACTTTTAACCTATTTTACGTAATTAACTAATTCAACATGTAATTAACTGATTATGCACCTAATTAAAGCATGCGAGCAAAAATTAGTTTGACCAGATTTAGGTATCGATCCGGTCAAAACAAAAAACCAAGCGAAAATGATAAAAAAAAAAAAGATATTAATCCTAAATCATGCAATTAACTATTAATTGAATCATGCACACATAGAATCAAATGACATTAAATCCTAATATGCTAACAAGTAAGAAGAACAAATTAAAACTCATGAAGCAATAGAAAAGAAAACGGAAAATTACCTAAACAAAGCAAGGAAAATTTTCTGACAAAATGTTTGGCCAACCATGGTGTTTGAACATCTCCGAAATGATACGAAAATTGCACTAATCGACTGTTCTTGCCAAAAATAATCGATTAGCATAAGTTTCGAGTCAAAACGGGTCTTTGAAACTCGAAAAATCAGAAGGGGAGGAAGCTAGGGTTTCTGGCCCTTTTAGATCTAAAATTCGAGGATTTTGGGTGGTTCTTTTGAAAAGTTGAAGGTATATTTGGATTGAGGATGAACAGAGGAGTATAGGGTGTTAATTTGGGGAAGTTTGGGGACTGTTCGCCGTCGTGGGGAAATTTCCGGCGGCAGAGACGACCATGGGTGAGAGAGATGAGAGGGAAGGGTCTGTGAAGAGTTTTGAGGGTTAGGGGAGGGTATTCCGAAAATTAGAAGGGAGAAGGGAATTCAGTTCCCAGCCGTTAGATCATAATTGATCAACAGCTGGGATCATTTGGTAGTGAAAATGGGGTCGGTTGGGTGTGGAGGAACCGGATCGGGTAAGGATATGGAGATTGGGCTGGGGTTGGTTTGGGAGAATTAGGGAATTTTGGGCTTAGACAATTGTTTGGCCCAAATCCGGAACCAAAGACCATCTTTCTTTCCTTTTCTTTTTTTCCCCTCTTTCCTTGATTTTAAAATCCTATAAAATTAATTAAAACCCTAAACCAACTCCTAAATCAAATCTAATCTGTAGAATTAAATTAATTATCTATTTGTAATATTAGAATAATTAATTAACTTAAAACTCAAGAAAGAAAAATATTAATTTTAAAACTAAAAACTAAATATTGAAAATGACCATTTTTGTGATTTTTGTTTAATAATGCAATTAATAAACAACTTAAATTCTAAAAATGAAAATAAAAACCTAAAATGCAATGAATTAATTTTTGATATTTTTGCAGCATTTTCTTATGATTTAAATATATTAAATATGCAACTAAACGCAAACAACAATTGACAAGGAATTCCTAAAAATTCTATAAAGTTAACATAATTAGAAAAATCTATTCTTTTTGAATTTTGTAGGAGTATTTTTAAGTTGAGCGAAAATCACGTGCTCACACTGACTAATATCTTAATAGCATTTCTGAAAATGGCTATATGTGCACTTGCCCGTAGAAGGGTTGTTAGTTAGCTAATATGTCTTGAATTTCAGTTTTTTAGTTTTACTTTTTGGGGTTTTTACACAACTAGCCTGTCATATTTATTGTTTACTTTTTNATATATATAATACATAAATTATGAATATATTATACCTTCACTGTTATTTTTAGTTTAAATGGTTGGGTGTGCGGCTATTTGGGTTAATTCTTCTTAATTTTGTAGGAAACGAATGTCCTGAATTGTCCTGAAATCATGATTTTTAGTTCAATTTTTTTGAATAAAATAAGTACTGGCTAATCCCTAATAGTATTCCTATAAATGGTTGTTTATGCACTTCCTTTGCAAACTCCTCTAAGGCCCTAAGTCCAAATATATATTGAGCAAATTTAGCATATTGACCCCATTCACCTCATACGAGCAATAGAACCAAGCATTTCTAAGCTCCAGAGTTCTTTGTTGCTTGTACTAAGGAAGAGAAAAAGATTTAACCCAAATATTCGCCTATCTAACCACATTATGTATATGACTAGAAAAAAATAAATAATGAATATAACATGTTATTTCTGTAAAGATCTCCGATGAATAAGTGATCTTTATAATATTTACCTATTATACATATTATATAGTTTGTATAACACATTAATATTTATTTATTTAATTAGTATATTATGAAGTACAAATTAAATATTATTAGTATAAAATATTATGTATTTGGATATACATAGTATATAATTCTTTTTCTCAATATGATAAATATATACGACGTATATTCATAATATTAAATTTTATTATATAAAATATATCACATATTTATTGTATAAATATTATATATTTAGAGCACATTGTAGTTGTTTAAATATTATATAATATTACTAGTATATATAGAGTATAAAAATGACTCATGAATGCTTCAAGTTTAAAGCCTTTCATTCTATTTGGTTACTAGGGAATATCTCCGCGCTTCGCGCGGTACATTAGTCAATTTAGAAACTTTTTTATATGAATTTTGCCAAAAAAAATGAGAAAAAAATTCACGTATATACATAAAAATATTAATTCTAAATATTGATGAAGTCGCAATTGTAAACAAATATTATTAGAATTAGAGCCTATAAATAGTGGACCTTTCATTATTATATTTTATCTAAAAATCATAAAAATATAAAAAGATCTTTATTTTTTATATAATATATGTATGTGGTTTTGATACATAATTTTCATACTTGAGCTTGAGTATATATTAAGTAGAAGTATTTTATTTCATTCTTTTATTAAATAGCATAGAATTTAATGTTCCTAAAATTTCTTCTATAAAAATTATAAAAAGCATGAGATAATAAAATTAAAGAAACTAAAACAAAGAAAACAAAACTGTTCTGCCCCCTAAAATAATATATTTGTTGTATGTATTCGTTTTCTTTTCACGTGTTTCTTTATTTAATTTCGTTTTTCTTTCTTTTTTTCCCTTGATCCCTCTCTCAATTTTTCATCCTTTAAAATCTAAATAACCTTCCATTGCGGATAATCCATTACTACCGCTGTCTCCTACGTATTCCTTTTGCTTTTTCCTCTTCTTGTCCCTCTCTCCTACTGTTACTTCAGCTATTCTTTCACCCCCTTTACTCTCTCCCTCTTACGGTTACTCCCAAATTAGAAACTTTAATTTTCATCTTCATGCCTACGTACCTCTTTCAATTTTTTTCTTCCAATTCTCTGAAAATTTTCTAAAATGTTCGCTTCTTGCAATTTCAACATTTCCATCAAAGGCGAAACGTAGCTTCAAAAATTATCATATATTTAGTGATAGCAAGTATAATATTCAGCACATGCAAGGACATAAAAAAGCCTCAATAGAAAAAAGAAAGAAAAGTAGGACCATATGTGTCCATGGACAGAAAGAGGAAGAAGTACAGCATCCTCACAATAACAAAGTATTAGCTAGAAAGAAAAGATTATATAAAAAAGAGGTTAAAAATATTGGGACGGTATTAACCAGTGAAAATTGAAAGCCATAGCCCCTAAATCAACATTTGTTCTGTAATAGAACTTCTGTTCAAGAGATAAGTACATGAAAAGTCACACTTAGTACAACATTTAATTGTGATATTATAAAAAGAAACATACTTTTATGAAAAACCCCTAGACCTTAAGACTTAAGAGTCTCGGATCTTACCTGATGTGATGATAACTGAATAGTCTGATTTTTTGTATACCTCATCTTCTTTCTGTTAAAACATATAAACATGCAAAAACATACGGAAATAAAGAAAGAACAAACAAAATAGGAGGTTATGGACTTGAAAGGTCACAATGCTTCCGAAGAAGTGCAACAGATACTGACATTTCAAAATATGATACATGGCAAAAAATAAAAAGGAAAAGCCAAAAACAAAAAAGAGGAAAAAGATAAATTGGATTCTTACGGAATATGCTATATCACCTGGCAAATATATATACAAAAATCATATATTTAACTGAAGAAAAATAAAAAATAAAAGATTGTCGTAAATTATTAAAATAAAGGTATAAACATTAATCCCTGCATTTAGTTTAAAATATTTTTTTCCACCAAGGAAATGAAATTTTACAGTATAGATACACAAAAAATAGAATTAACTTGTTAATAAGCATAAACGATTTTTTTTTTTCAAAGTTAAAGTGTTTGACCAAGTTTTTAGAATAAAAAAAATACTTTTGTATAGATGCATAAGCAATTTTAGGGAAGCTAGAAAAAAATAGTTTCTCTCCAAAAGTACTTTTCTGGAAAGCACTTTAAAGAAAAATACTCTTAGAATCACTTTTTAAAAACTTGTTCAAACACTAATTACTGATCAGAAGTATTTTTAAAATTAATTAGCCAAGCACAAACTGTTTATTACAAAAAAAAGTATTTTTGAGAAAAAGCATTTCTCAAAATAAACTAATTTTAAAAGCTTGGCCAAACAGACTATTAGACTTTCTAAAAAGCAAAAAAGAAATATGGAGAAAAATTGAAAAAAGAACATAACACATAGTATTTGCTAACCTCGAGTCCATCTCTGAGAGCATCTAGTTGACAAAAAAAAAACAAAGAAAATCAAAATTGAAAAGAATAACAACATAAAAGCACAAAATAAATAAATTTAAGAAAAATAACCAAAATTACCTGCCAATTAACAAAACAAAAGAAAAATACAAACCCACACTATAAAATCGTCATACTCTCAGTAATGACCAAAACAATAATTTTAAAGTCTGTCAAAAATTATTAGTCTTTTCCAATGAACATCTTTAATATCAACACATTAAAAACAAAGAAAATCAAAATTGAAAAGAATAACAACATAAAAGCACAAAATAAATAAATTTAAGAAAAATAATCAAAATTACCTGCCAATTAACAAAACAAAAGAAAAATACAAACCCACACTATAAAATCGTCATACTCTCAGTAATGACCAAAACAATAATTTTAAAGCCTGTCAAAAATTATTAGTCTTTTCCAATGAACATCTTTAATATCAACACATGGAAACAATTTATTTTTTTTTTAAAATCACAAAAAGGTAATAAGCACAACGTAATAATGAATGAAATTACCTTCTGATTAACAACAACAAAAAGAAAAATAGGCAGAGTGTAAGAATTATCCTACTCTTAAAGTGACTAAAGCCACAAACATTTTGAAAAAGTAAACAACCTACGATGGAGATTAAAGGCATGACTCTTGGAAGAGGAAAGAGAGGCTAATTAAAAGAGTAAAAGACATGACAATTGATCTTTTTTTTTTTTCAAAGCAGATAAATAGGAAAAATGAGGAAAAGGGAAAATTTTCATAAATTTATACAATGATAAGAACTTTCTGATTAGCCAACAAATCACAAGGAAAATCACCTCCTCTTGATCTTTGAAACAAAATTTAAAACAATTTAAATGTTGTTATTGGAGGATATACACCTTGTATCTCCTCCTCTTGATCTTTGAAACAAAATTTAAAACAATTTAGATGTTGTTATTGGCGGATATACACCTTGTATCTGGAATGGGCAAAATTGATACTAAAAAAAGTAACAAAAAATAAATTAGATATTAGTAAAACTTATGGTATAACCAAGAGAAGTTAGAGCGATAAAATTGAAGTTTACCTATGCAAGCAAATTTTTTATTGCTAGTTCAGCATTAGAGTGTAAGAAGGATATCTAGCCAATTTCGCATACTATACATATGCTACAAAACAAACCATTAGCATAGATAAAAAATAGCATTCTTCTATACTCATTGCAATTTTT